GTTTCTCTCATAATTGAGGATATGCTTTAATCTTCTCACATTTGGGCATCTCCTTTTTTCTGCATGGTCCAAAATCAGACGGTGATGAAAGCTCAGTGTCTGGGCCCAACTGCTTTTCTTTCCACCCTTGTGTAACTGATGCGTGTATAAACTAGGTATGAAATAACGTATCTAAGAATCGGACTCCCTTTTTATCAACTTGGAGCTGACTGCAAGCAAAACAAGTGCTTTGGTTTAGTACCAGAGCATTGAGAAAGTTCAAAATACCTGCTCAAGGCATTCATGTGAGGCACATGCACGGTTATCAGCATGTGAATTATTTCAGGGCGTAAGACTGCCAAACTTACCAGTCTCAATCAGCAGTTAGGGGAAAAAAAAGGAGCTTGGAGTATCGTTGATCCTAGGAAGCTAAAATACACCAGCTGTACCTTGCAACTTCCTCCTGGCAAAGGCAGCCTGCCCTGACTGTAAGCATATGGATGGCATCAGTGCACCTTCCCTCAGATTTACCTGCTCACTCTTCCTCATGTGTAGTCCAGAGCTACGGTAAAAGGGGATGGCAACAGAAGGAGATGGAGACTAAATGGATGAATATTTTCAAATGTGCATGATGCATCTCGTAATATATTCAGTCCTGAAACTTTAACTTTCCACTAGCCTCCTGCAACACATGTATTTACCACTCCGAAATGTACACAAGCCACTGCCCCAGAGCCATCCCTGATATTGCCACTTGACTGCTGCCTCCTGCTTCATCTCTGCAGGAGTGCATTCCCTCCACAGCCACGGTAACAGTGCCTGAAAATATCAGGATAGGTCACCTTCAAAGGCTGTCCAACTCAACTTTGAAATGAAGCATACTGGGAAAAACGTACTGATGTAACTTGGTTGAAGTATGGGAATGAATGAATTAATGGCCAAGAATAGCAGCTTCCTGAATCACTGAATTTAAATCCATCAGTAGAATTTTGCCTCTGCCTTAGGAGCTTTTTAATTAATAAATAAAAACTCTCCTCCTGGCTAAGATAGGTTTTAAAAGTTGTGGGACTATAAAGTTATTTACACTTGCACTGTCATAAAAATATACAAGATACCCTTTTTCTTCTTCTGTTCACTGCTAACAACTCTCATTCCAAACAAAGACATCAAGCAACTGTAAGAGTTAGCCAATAATGAATTTGTGATTTGGATCCTGAAGAAAAATAGCATACTCATGGTATTAATTTCAAATAAACACCCTCATTAGTGGCATGATTTTGAATCACTGCACACCAACCAGAGAAGGCATCACTCTTATGGATGACCTAGCAGATGTCAAGAACCAAACTACAGATAAGCTTCAGCTCCTCCTTTAATACCATATTTTAGAAAACAATTTTGGAAATTAGGAAAGTGATCAACAACAACAACAACAGAGCAAGGAATGTGATTACTAAAGCAACACTTCTTTTGTTAAGTTTTAATCATATAGTGCTTATCGCATAACTTAACCTCCTAGTTCAATGTAAAATTACAGTTTACTGGATTTTTTAAAACTGAATTTGAGAAAACAGAATAATAAAATATTTTGAGAAAACAAAATAATAAAATAAAAACATGAGGTCCAGCCTCAATTCTGCCATTCCTCCATTGCCACTGAAGAACAAGTTAAGTTTCATACATCTTCTTGAAGTATAAACCAAAGATGTACTGCAGAAATTCCAAGATAACTACACAGTCCTAACAGGTTTTGGTAACACAAAGTGACACATTTCAGTACATATTCATAAGGGTTGGGGGTTATTATTGGACTGTAATTGCAGTTGTTCTAACACCTAATAAGGCATGGCTGGAAAAACAAAGGCAGGTTAATTTGTGATTTCCTCTACTCATTCAGAGGCAAATTAAGTGTCAAACAGCTAATACAGAACATATTTCATTTTATGAGATTTTAATTTAATTCTGCACCATATCGTTGATGCCTTAATGTAGGGTGGTTTATCTAAGAGGAAGAGCAATTTATAAACCTCTTTCAATTGAAATCTTTAATGATAGGATACGATAGCATAATTACAGCAATGCCTGCTAGTCCTACTATACATAAGCATCTGTCAGCAATTCCATCATAAACATAAACCCTTATTTTAAGGGTTTATAACTCAAATTATAAAATTTGGCTCCAGGCTGAAATTTGGGATGCAACAGTTCTGATCATCAGCAATTAAACAATAAGGGTCACACATATAAATATATATATATATACCTTTCTAGAACTGCAAGTATGTGAGAGCTCTGTAACATCTTTAGAATTCCTGCTTTCTTTTTTTCTTTTTCATTTGGCCAGTGTTCAAAATTATGTGCTGACACTGTAGGTACCATGCAGACAAGGCCGTCCTCACATTTTTTCTGCTCTTGTATTACACCTAAACTAACTCCACTAAGGCTTGACAGGTTCTGGAACATATTTCAAGGAGCCTGGATAACTAAAATCATGCCTTTTTTTAAATTTTATTTTTAATTTATATTACATACACACATTTGAGAGTACTAAAAAGCTAAGGAGAAAGCCACTCATACAATGAAGTAATTGTTGAAGCTGTAGGTAAACATTTGCTTCCTGACTGGTTTCTTGCCATTTTCTCTCAGAATTCTGAAATACCTTCTCACATCCAGTTCTTTCTCTTTTTTTTTTTTTGGGTGCCAGGACAGCAGTTCAAGTAATAGCTCCAAGTGATCCCAGGTGATCCTAAGTGCTACTCACACCAGGCTCTGTAAAACTTGGCAAGAAAACCACTGGGTGCCTACCTCACATGTAAGTACTTTAATATATTTTCCTGAAAACTGCAAAAGCATGACAAACCCTAACATCTACAAAGATGCTGAAGCCATAAGGATTTTTTAAGTTGCTTAATTGCCTATTTATATTAAATTACAGCAACCATTACAGCTCCAAGGGTCCACTACAGCTCATCATTCCAGTGGTGACATAAACCAAATGAGCAAAAGAATCAACATAAGTTAATGAGGAAAAATAGCCAATATCTAGGCAATTTTGAGTTTAAAGCTTGGGCTGATATCAGAGTATATTTCTAAAGCAGCTGCCTTCAGTGATTGCACCTGGCTAAGATCTCCTTGCCTCTGCAGGGCCCAGATGAATCACCACTTAATCAGGGAGCAGGGGTGCACAGCACACAGCAGGGCACCTTTCCATAGAAGAAGCATGATTTTGGGGTCAGAGGGGACAACCCCTGAATGCCAAACAAAGTATGAAAGAGGCATTTCCAACGTATTTTGGGACTCTTACAGAAATCTTGGCACTGAGAGCAGCATAGACTGCTAGTCCTGATTTCCCACTGTCACTCAAAGCAAGTGACAGTGGTCTACCCACCCAAAAGCCCTGCTTGGGGCCTGGGGTGCCATGCTATGGACTGGGTTCATGGGACTGAGGCTCCAGGGAGGGCTCAGCTCAGCAAATGCAGTCAGGAAGGGTCCCACATGGCAGAGACTTCCAGAAGCCTCTTCCAAGCCGGTAAGCAGTACTTGTGTCTTGGATGATGGCCCTCTGCTGATGCAGGTTAGAACTCCCTACCCCATCTGCCCAATACAAAGAGAAAGGCAAATCCCGCACTAGCTTCAGAATGGGCAGGATCATCTCCCCCCAGCTCCCAAAAACGTCCATCCATGCAGAATATTGACTGCACTGCAAAATCTAGGATGACCCTGTAATGACTGTCTGAGCCTGCCACCTTCAGCTTACAACAGTATTTAGCAGCAAATTTAAGCATGTATTTGTGTGTACTTTATTATGTGGTAGATTGTGGTGTAAATGGTGATGCATCTGAGGAACCCTGAGGAATAAATCACAAATTTCTGTGCTCTCTCTTTCTATAAATACCCACTTTCCCTCTAATGCCCAAAAAGACTGCAACACAGATTTATTACTTACCTCCAGGCAAATTTGCTCTGAAATTACAATTCAGTAATAGAAGACTGACCCAAAAAAACCTGTTAGTAAAATATTGTGTGTGTACTTGGGCATGTAGTTAGGATTGTTAATATCAATTAATTCTGCTCACAGAGGAGGACTTGTTTTAAAACAACTTCATTTTTCTTCTGCATATATGTAATTACACAGCTGTAACTAATAGCCATAGAAAAGCAATCTGCCATCTAAACAACTAGCATTATTCTTCAAAGTATTACTTGTGCTTTTCTTCTTGTATTTTCTCAGTGTGAGAGGTGATTAGTAGATATGATTAAATGTATACATCAAGCCTTTTAGTGAAGTACCAAGCCCTGCTTTTCGGCTCCATTTTAAATGGTATTTAGCAGTTTTCTGGACACATCTACTGGTTTATTCTGCAATGCTGATACCTGACTCCCTATACAGAATAAGATAAAATTTATTTCTACAGGATTTCACTACTACCATCCTTTTCTAATGCATGTTATCACTGGTATTCATTTCTTTTATCTTTGTGTAAACCATGTGCTCTATCACATTTGCCATTTTGTTTGGGTGACATTCCCATCAATCAACCAACTGCCTATATGTGCACACAACAGGGACTAAGAAAATTTACCAAAAATTTCATTATGCTTCATAGCAGTCACTAAGAAAAAAACCCAACCTTTTGGTTGTTTTGTAAACAAACCTTTGGCATGAAAGGAAATTTTAGCTATGAAGAATACCAAGCTTAATACAGATTAAATATATGTTTATCTGGCTGTATTTCACAGGGCTCAGCACTTTAAAATTTAGCCTTTATAGAATGACAAAATACAGAATAAATGTCAGCAAAACACATAAGTAACCTTTGCCAGCTACCTATTATAAGAGGAATTCCTCAAGCACCAGCATGGGTTTTGCTTTATGAACAGATAAACTCAATGTTTTCCAAAAGTAAATCTCGCACGCTGGCAAGACTGGAAAAGTGCTCCAGGTACAGGTTTCAACCATTGCACAGGTTCATGTATTTGTCCATTCTTGCAGGAAGCAAGGGGGAACACTGAATACTCACACATGCAGAGGAGGAATGGGAGATGGTTCGTAATGGTAGCGTCCCTCATGATGTCTCGCATCAATTGGTACAGGAGGGTGGAATGCTGGAAAAAGGTGAGGAGGATCTGAAAAAACAAGCGAGGTTCCCAGATCTGAGTATCTCCAATGATTCTTTAAAAACAACATTCATAAAGACAGAACAGATACTGAAAACAATGTGTTAAGAGTGCTATGACTTAAGGATCACAATCTCCTTCCATGCTGCTGTCAGTCAGGTCTGTCTGAGAGGAGAATTTGGCCCACAGTGTTTGCATGAATATGTATTTACTAATTTTAATATTCTCTTTTTATAGCTTAAATGGAAATGGGCATAAAAAATGTCTTTAATAAATAATTATGTGCCCATATGCATATGAAGCATCAGATCAAAAGGACCATCATGGCTTTCATAAGCATTCCTGATTTATTTATTTTGTATTAAAACAAGAAAAAATAAAAATCATCCCAGGACAAAAAGCCTAAGCAGAGAATACAATGCAATAAAAAAGTATTTCCTCAGAGCTGTACTCACAGTCCTACAACAGAAAGCCAAACTGAAGTGACTGAGAAATAAATGTACGTAAAACTGGAGTAAATCAGACAACAATACTCGAAGGCCAATGCGACTGGGAAGGGCCATATTGGAGACATTTAAGTGCACCACACCAATGTCTGAACCTGGAGGAATGTGTGTGAGGACAGAGGAACTCATTTCATACCCAGCTCTTATCAAGGAAGGGTGCTTTCTTTGTCCCCGTGGCTGGAGACCCAGGCACTCATGGCTGCAGTCAGCTTCCCTGCTCTATCTCCTCCATGGCTTCCACAGGATGGGGGATTTTGCAGCTGTCAGAACTCCCACTCCCCGCTGTTTCCGCTGAGCCTCGGAGACAGGCTGACAAAAGGGAGAATGCGCCCCTGACACCCCCATGGGCTCTGCCCTGAGGAGTCAGGCACCGGCCCGCCCTCCCCACGGCTTCTGCAGCTGGATTGCCTCCCAGCTTGGAGGGGCACAGTTCACACAGACCACAGCTCTCCCCACCAGCACGCCGCTGCGATCTGGGTGCCTCAAAATGTTATGCACTGATGTTAAGCACCTCCAGCGGCATGAAACAAACTGATCCCACACAATCATTACCCAATTGCCACTTTGGCTGACGTCATGCGATTATCTGTCACTAAAGGCTGAGAAGTACATACATTAGGTCATGTCATGGATTTAATAAAATGTTTCTAGAAAAAAAAGAAGACTTCAGTTGTGTGCTGCCAGTAAAATTAATTCTACTCCAGTTTTGCACACCAACTCTTGAAGGTATCTTTTCTTTATATTGCCCACCTTTCCTATTGAGCAAAATACAAACCTCCTCTTAGGTAATATTATTTGTGAAAGCAGTTCCCTGGTCCCAACTAGACACAGTTAAAAAAATAAAAGGATTTTTCCTCATGTTTTAAAAAGTTAGGTTGCTTTATTATTGTATTTTGAAGTGAGAGAAGAATGAGAGCAACAAACCTCATTGCCCTGAGGGAATACACACAGGGGATGAAGGGGAAATAATTTCTAAGGAAATATTCCCAGTATTTCAAGAAAGCCTGGAAACATCTGACATAGACTGTCCAGTTACATGGCTTGATTTTGTGAAAGGCATCAGCATGTGATTAGCCACAACACATTTCAGCCATTTACTGACTTAGGCACCATAAATGAAAAATAATTGTGGCTTATGATGCAAAAGCTGGGAGCTCAAACTCACAGTATGTTTAATTCTGGTTCTGCTGCACCAACTGGACCTTGGCATGCAATCTCTTATGAGCTTCGCTCCCCATGCCAACTACTCAGAGTCTTCAATGGAGGTAAAAAATGTGTCACAGATGATCAGGAACATACTGTCATTGTCTGAGTGAAGAATGCTTGCTGCCACCTCCTGAAACACATTCCCCAGCAGACACTAAGGCAAAGCAGAAAAGGGACATGGGAAGTGTGTTTTACCACATCTCCCTGTCTGCCCTCTTCCCTGCTAAACTGCTTTGACTACAGCGGAGGTTTCAAAGCAGATGTCTAGCATTTCACAATACAAAGTCTGCCACCATTTTTTCAGCAAAAAAAGGAAGTCACTCATACCCTCATAAAAGCACAGGGAAATCCTTCTCTGTTCTATGCATCTCTTTCAAAGAGTGAGACTGGAGAGCACAGGTAAGACCATAGAGATTTTGCAACACATTCATGTCAGACAGGAAGTGGTTCCCCTGGCCAAAACATGAAATCCCACTCAGGATGCCAAGCTTCCTCACTGTCCCACCCTCACCCAGCCAGACCATCTATCCATTAAAATCAGTCCAAGTAATTATGTAGTGAAACACCATTTGACCCTCCTCAAGATCTATTTACTTTCTGCTGAGAAATGGAAACTTAGTATTAAGCAACCCAAAAAAAGGTATTTTTCTCTGTGGGGCTTATGCAGTACATATCGTCAACAAGTTTTATTTATGCATAGGCTATAAATCTCCAAGAACATCTTTTTCAGTCCTCTCACATTAAGCTCCTTTGTATATCTTGGTTGCATCTTGTTTGTAGTTTCCATCTGGGAAACAGCCGTACTCCATCATGGCACAGGGAGCTGTCTCTGTCAGCCCTGAGCTGTCCGGAGCAGAGCTGCATATCAAACCCCAACATAATTATCCATCTCAAAGTTTATTATTTACACATGAGCAATACAGCTGGTGAACATCGTAACTCAAGTGTATGTGTAATAAGTTACTACACTGTAGCCATCTCTTGTTGCAACCCTTAAGATAAACCACATGATGACTTTTCCAAAGTCAGGCTAAAACTGCTGAAGCAGAATAAAGTGCCACTAAACCTGGCTACCTCCTATTCATCATACAATTTCCTGACTGATGGTTCCACAAACCAGCTGCTAAGTGCTGTGTACTCTACTGTCAGCAGACTAACATGCTAAATGGGAGACAGGGAGAATAATGTACAGAACTATAGAACTGGTGAAGTCAAATTTACAGATGGAAATCAAATCCTGCCGTGTTGGGTCAGCCCTCAGCACAAAAGCAGCTGGTAAATTCAACATGCGTGGGTGCCCAAGACCACTCCACTCTGAAAAGCACTGAATATTTACATGGAAAAACTCTGAGATCAGGGAGCACCCATCGTCCAGGGCTTCACTTGGAATTCACTTGAAATGGCATAAAATGTAATCAGTTGACATGTATTTCTATGGAAATAGATAATAAGTTTATAAAGCAGTTACTGAGGCTGTTGCTAGTTTCACATTGACTTTTCATATCCCACCCAGTAACTATTTCATTAAAAGCACCATCAGAATACTAATGGCACATTCTGCCACAATTATTGATACTGTAGGTAAGTAAAAAACTGAGACCAATGAGGCTAGAATTGAATCTGAACTTATCTGAGCCATGTTTTTTTGTGCAAGATGCTTTACCTATCTAGAAATCCAGGGAAAAACTCCGTGGAAAAGACAGGATAGCTGCTCTGACAATGTTTTCATTAATTCATTTAAACTGTGAGGACAAAAACTCTTATCTTCAGCAATGAGAAACTCCTCTCACCAAAACAAATCGATAAAATCTAACTTCCTATTCTGCTAAGGAAATTACTTATGACCTTCTTAAAAATTCTAGCTAAGATGCAAACTTACACAGAATATGCCAGGCAGTTTTCTTACAGACATCCAAATGCAACTGTGACTTCCTGGGCCCATCCTTGCAGAGGCTGATGTAAGTGTACAGTACACGGACAGATGCTGGCTGTGGTGTATTTGCAGCCCTCAGCTTCAACTCATTAGAAGTACCTGATTCTGTGCAAAAATTCTACTGTTTTCAAGAACTTTTAAGGACATGCCAAAGCACTGGAAATATATTTGAAGACATTGCTCACACATTGCTGAGTCTGGTAGCTGTTGCTGCTTTCTGAATTGTCTGCTGCCTACTACTGTAAGCTTCCTTCAGATACTCTCCTGTGTCCTGCACAGCTAGCGGGGTCTACTTAAAACAAAGTGGGAGACACAGTTTGCCTGTAATGCTACAAACTCATCAATTCTATCACTGTGAGATTTTCTGGAAAATATGTCAATTTATGCTGACTTTCTGTTGTGTAAAACCTGCCTTCTTATTTCTCCTTCAAGAACCATTCTTACCTTCTTAAAGAAGTGAATAGGATCATCTCTCTCCAATTACAATCATTCCCATACAGGAAAAAAAAAAGAGACCTACTCCTGTTCTCTGAAAGTCGACAACCTAAGTCTGCTGCAACATCAAGAGAAAGAAACTGGGAGAAAGGACAGGTATGTATGATCCTTGATGCTGAACAGCAAACCTGAATTGAAGTCTGATGAGATGCAATTCACAGCAAGACTTGTTAGAAAGGGGGGTGATGCCAGCTGGCTCAAAGGTGCTGTGCAACACCCTGAGATGATGGCAGAAGCATTAGGCAGCTATGAAGCTCACTGAAGTTTGTGATAACTTTTCTGTACACTCTGTAGTCTCTCAAATAAGCCTTACTTAGGGGATCACTACATTTGGGAATGTCGGCTGTGAAGGTGATACTAGTAAAACACTCTGCCCTCAGCTAGCTGACTTGCTCAAGCACCTTGTGATTCCTGCCAAACGCTTGAGGGACACTGCTGCTGAAATGACAAGCTGCATTTTTCAGCACATCAAGAAAACATTTGCTACCGCAAAAGATGCATGCACTGGCTTAACTCACCCAGTCTGGCCCCGATGTCTGCACCTGTGTCATGAGGTCAAGTCCAAGAAAACAGAGGTCCCAAGCCCAACACAGGAAGCCCTCGTTATGCTTCAGCACGTTTGTCATTAGGACGATCAGCTCACCAAATTGCATGTCAGAGCTGAGCCAGGTAAAAACTTCTATCTCAGATCCAACGTCAACTGAGGTGAAATCTCCTTCCTGCTTAAATCCATTACAGTCTTGGTGCTGAACCACAGTACCAACCTTTCACACCACATGTAACAGATACAGTAGGATGCAAAATATAGCCTCCCTGTTAATGTCTTTTCAATATGCAGAACAGTTTTGAAGAGTTTGCCAGCAAATTTC